GTTGACAGCGGAATCAACCAGCTCCTCATAAGATACAGCTCCATATCTAGAAATGCTTTTCAGAGAGCGTCTAATTAATATGAAATCCTCAGACAGTAGACCGGGAAAGATAACGGGAGAGCAGTGGGTCCAATGGCATAAAACGCATGAGAAAATAAATTTGGAAATGATGTAAAATGACACCCTCAGATGCCGAAGGCGTGAAATATGAAAGGTCAACTTTTTGACTTTAAGAAATGTTTGTTCTGCGTGATAGGACCATTTGAGGTCAACAGACAGGAAATATTCAAGATATTTGAAGTGTTGTGACCTTTCAAATTTTAAGTTATTGATTAAGATATTGGAAACAGATGACCAGAAAGAGTTGATGGCCTACGGTCAATGGAAAACAAAACTTCAATGCATTTGATCGGGTTTAACGAAAGCTTAACACCATCGTACCATTCAGAAATGGAACTTATGGCTGATTGAAAGGGGTTAGTTGAAGGGTTATTGTTGTGAGATGCACCACCAACTACCATGTCATCGGCATATTTAAACGTGAAAACATTTGGGGTCACTGGCCAGTTTTGGATATAACAGGAGAAAAGAAAAGGGGATAAAATTACTCCCTGCATTACACCCTGGTCTACGGTAACAGTAGAAGACCTAATACCATTGAGACAAGTGAACTGGCGTCAGTCAGTAAAATAGTTGTGCATCCAATTCAAAAAATATGGCGGGAGATTATGTTGTCGTAACAGTAACAATAGGATGTTTCTGTTGACAGAGTTGAACGCGTTTGTGTAGCCCAAAAAAGGAACTTGAACAATTTTATTTTCGGTCTATAGTGGATAAACAGAATGTAAAACACAAGCAACCGCATCTAAAGTAGAGCGACGCTTACAATAAGCAAACTGATTGGAATCACGAGAATCAAGGTTAGAGGATAAGTGCTTAATAATAATACGCTCAAAAGTCTTCAGTAACACTGAAGATGAAGCAATAAACCGAAACTTACCCTTTTCTTTCTTGGGTACTGAAGTGATGCGAACATCATGCCAAGTGGTAACTAGTTTTCCTTCTGACAGACATGTACTGAAGATGAATGAAACGGTTTGTGCGAGGTGGTTTGCACATGTCTTAAGGGTCATTGAGGATAACCCATCGGGACCGGCGGATTTATTCCTGTTGACAGCATTTAATTCTTTTAAAAGGTGCTCTGTTGTGACAGACACAGGAAGGTGGAGATCAAGTGACGGTGTGTTTGGACGCGGTGAAGCTTACATAAAGTTTTTCACTGAAGCAAAAGATTTGTTGAGCTCGTTTATATCACATGAGACTGCAGCAGGTAAAGTTGAACGACCACAGAGCAACTTTAGTCCACCCCATAGCTGATGGCAGGATTTGTCTCCTATTACGGTGTCAGCATACAACTGTTTGAGATGGGCTATCTTGCTTCTGATATGAAGTTTGACAGCTTTGACGGTCACTTTATCTCTCCAGTGATACGCCCTTTTTTTCAACCTACGCAACCTTTTCAGTCTATCGGTTGCGGGTGAATCCTTTCTTGAGGGTAGCACACATCATAACAATAGTTGAGGTAGTTGGTAAGGTTCTCACAGAAGATTGAAATATCAGGATGGCATAATTATGTTGTTACGTCATTGTGTGGTCAGGAAAGATTCAAATCCGGGCTGTGGAAGTACATAAAAGGATGAATAATATGGCCAACGTTTACGGGATACAAACTCATCAAATCCGGTTCACTTTTTGATGACCGTCACTACTGGAACGTCGCCGTCTCCGCAGCTTACGCCTAAATGACACGTGAGCGTCCAAAGTCTCTGTCTTCCGAACTGATACCTACCAGTCGGTATGGATTAGTCAGTATGGAAACTTGTGTTAAAATACGTAGAGCCGGTTCAAACTAAACGAGACAGAGCGAAATTAACGATGCTCCATTTGAAACGGTAGTGATGTATTTTTGATCCACCTTTGAATCCATGTAATTTCCATAAAATATGTGAAATATGCTGCAAGACAGTATTGTTTTGCATTGTGCAGTATTCAAGCTTTAGCGAGTTATATACAANACCACCGTTACAATTCTGGTAAAAACGGAAAAAATTGGATGTGAAACGTAAAAAAAGATGAGCTAATTACTAAATGCATTAGAAAGCTCAGAACGAGCACTTTCCTTGTCGGTCAGTACCAAAGAGTTTCTGTATGCGAATATGCGAGACGGGATAAGTTTGTACTCGGAACGGGTGGACGGGTGGGATTTGCATGCACACAAGTCAATGTGAAAAGGATGAGTGCAATCAGATAGGATATTGTTAGCAAACATCATGGACGCATCAATATGAGCATTAAGCATATTGTCAATCAGAACAGATTACGGAACTTGGGAGACACGGTTGATCATTGAGAAGCCACGCCTCAGTAATTTGAAATCAGCCTTCAACAAACCAGGGAAAATTACAGGGGAGCAGTAAATGGGTATGCGGAGGACACATTGTTGAACAAAAGCGGCTATCACCGACGGATCAGAACAGAAGCGGTACAGTCTTTTTATCTGAAAAGAGAGAACTTTCAACTTGTGAGCAACAGTTTGGGTGTGTAAGAACCAGCGAAGGTTACGTTCAAGTAAGCTACCTACATATTTCCACAAGGGTGACCCTGCTCATCGGCTTTCTATGGATCTGTACATTGTCCGAGGGAGATAGTGAACGGTATAGAGAAAAAATACATTCAAAGCATATTTGCGGATTAAAATTAAGACCGGATGAAGTGGAATACTGTAATAGTTGTAGTAGTAGTAGTTATACGCACGGAATTCGGAACACCAACTACGCAATATGAATTACAGGACCCGAATCAATAATCGGCTATCACGGACTGGATCGCAGAAGCACTGAAGCACAATGGCACAGATTCGCAATGTCCCACGAGAACGAGACGCGAGGAAAATACCACGGGAATTTAGTAAACAATAGCTCGTTTATTGGAGGAAATGAAGGCGATTAAATAATATGTATAAAGGGAGATTATTGGCTATCTGGGCTTCCACCAATTGGTTTGCAGTGCTGCTTGCATAATCTTGCTTCTGTCTGCACTGTCTCGGATTGGTTGGCACCATCCATCAATGACGTGTATTCAGAAGGCATGCGCGTGTCATTGACGTCAACATTCAAACTTGATTGATCGCCAATGTCCTGAAACTGTAATGCGCCGTTCCAGGGTAGGCGCCATTGTGTAGGCCTGGATCACCACAAATACGTAACGAGGTGGGATAAGTTTGTGTTATATTCAGTCAGTTCTGATTGGTTACAAACGGAAACAGAGATGGCGATATCATCGGCATACTTAAAATGTCCAACAGGGAGAGTAATGGATAAGTCACTGATATAGGTCGAAGAAAGGTAGGACAGCACCTTGAAGTACACCGGAACTATATTGAGTGATGCCGTTTACTGTATTTTTCCCAATTTAACATACTGATATCTTTGCAAAAGTAATCAGGAAGCCGTTCTAGAAGAAAAGCCTGACAGCCAAAAGTTTGGAGCATGTTAAGTAAGAGAGAATGGGACAAACCTTATTGTGTGTGTGGGGAGAATGATGGATGATGATGTGCGGTGGTGACTCGGTGGTAACGTCACCAAATTATCACCCCACTACCACCGCCTGAATTTCCCCTTTGTGTGCTGAATGGCAGCCCTTTGATTGGCTGCTTCCCCCTTCCTGAAAAATTGTTGCATCTTTGCATATTCAATAAAAAAGGAAGTAAAATGAAAAAGAAAAAAAGAGATAATCAACATTCCAGTTCCATGACCGGGTGTTGCTCACACCTTAGTCCTCACACTTGCGCACTGGTTCAGGTCTTTAGGGGTGGGTGGGGGGATGTCTGTGTTGTGTGTGGTTTTGGCCAAGGAAGGCCGAGTGCTCTTACAAATTGGTTTCGCTAGCACCTCCGGGAGGAGGAGGCTGGGTGGGTTATGTAGCCGGATTCCGATCGCTTCCTCTGTTGCTGGAATGCGACTCCTAATCCTCTTACATTGACGAATGTGAACTAAGTAGAAAGGGGTTTTATTCCACCATGTGGGAAACAATCGATCTTAATTGCTCCACTATTCAACCAGGATGGGTGGTGCTCGCGGACTCATTCAGATAAATTTCTACTCGTACGGAATTCTACTGATTGTTTACATTTTTTGACACTCCTTTACACTACTTGCTAGCCTTCATGATAGCCGTAAACGTAGCTAATCATCGGATGCAATAAATGGATTAGGATCATTTAGATTCAGCCAGTACGTCCATTTCTACGATTTCTCCAGGAGGATGAGATTTGTTCTTTAAAAATATATTAAAAATAACGATGGGGGTATCGGTAAATTGGCATAAATGCAACAAAATATCTCATACGGAAAAAGTCTTTAAAATTCGCACAAACAAGGTCCAAAAGTAGATACGCATTTTATGTAGTTACAAAATTAAATCCGTTAATCTACTAGTGAATTCGGTGAAATCTAATAACCGCTTTTTGGCGCTTGCAAACTACTCACAAGTGTGAGTAGTACTACTGTACCGACCGTATTGAGGAAGTGTGAATTATGATATTTACGGGGCCAGGATTGTTTTACTGCGCGATTTTTCCACAGTCACTCACCCATTTACTTGTTCGCTTACTCGGGCGACCGCGTTTGGTAAGTTTGTGGACAACGATAGTTCGATTAAATTCCGTTTATCTAACGGCGCGTGATGCAATTGATCAGTTGATCGATTAACCGATGGAACGAGCTGTTTCACATGTCAAAACATCCGAGTTATCTCAAAAATAAGCTGATCGATCAACACTCAGGCTGTAATGAAGGGGAACGATTGAGTGGGGTTCAGAACGATCCGTATCGATTCACTATGCACTTGACTCGTGTCGGATTGATCTTTCTGCTATGTGCCAGAGAAATCCAGTCTAGAGTCAGTGAATCTCTCGTCCTTTGTGGACGCATGAGTTTACCATGCCAGTGATCGTTCCTTCACATAACAATGGCACCACGTACTTCGAGCATCTGCATCCAGACGAACAACTCCCGTTAAAGTTGGGCTTAATTCTGTTGGCATGCACCATTATTGTGCTGTTCGTGGCTCTGTTATTCCTTATTTGTCGACGATTAAGACGATACGCGCGACTGTTAAACGAGAAGGATTACAACGACAACGAGGATGACTTGGACAGTGATGTGGAACTGACACAGTTTGATTTGGAAAAGTTTCACCTGGCAGCCACTTCGGAACAGAAAGCAAAATCGACGACACCGGGGTCCATAAGACGTCATGATGCTAAAGAGGAGGGAGCGGTTGAGCAAACTGTAGCACCCCAAACTTCCAAAGCGATTGAAGAAGTGCCATTATCGGCATTCTCAATCGGGGATGAAGAGGATGAGGCATCAGAGGATGGCTATGCGAGTGGGAATACTACTGCTGGTGGGGCTTCGAGATCCGGAACGAAAGAATCGCACACAGGGGGTCTCAATCCGACCAACTGCTATGCAAAACCGGAACGAATTCAGATAGTGACTAAAGCAGTGGCTGTCCAACAACCAGTTCGAGAAGTGAGTCACTGGGGTCATCTTTTTGCATTGCTTTGCAGACTGAGGTCGCAAGAGTTTGATGTTCCAATAACTGTTTTGTTGCCCTGGTTACACCATTGTATAACATAGTCGAGCAAGCTAGCCGAGAACTTATCGTGGTAAGGGGATCGGTTACCGAACTTTCTAACCAGAAACATTTATGGAGTGAGGGAAGTGGCGAAGGTTTCAAATTTTTGTGTACAGAATGTAGTGCTTTGCATGCAGATGACGTAGAACGTGGTTTAAAAGGCTATGACCTACAATTCCACTCGATATTCGCCAGACATCTGTCTTTGGGCAAATTCTTTCAACTCCCGAAGTGAAAGTATCTGATGAGAAAAAAATCATATACCTATTAGGATTATATCTTCCACAGCAGTTTTTAGACAAAATGGTACTCAGGAAATACAGAAATTCAATTAGGATTATAGAAGTTGTGGTGCAAAACGAAACGTCATCTTTAGAGCAATTAGAAAACGGCATCTATAATTAAAATCACGTGTCACATTGTGTACACAAGATCAGTTGCGGGTAGGTAAATAATCCGTTTGTCCCCTTTGAATCTTTGCTGCCTTATTCAGCCTATTACACCAGGTTTGAGATGTGAGTGTGTGATAATTTTGATTTTCAAATTGAAACCAAGTGTGTTGAGCACTAGAAATTGATTTTGAATTACGCTGAGGTTGGAGCTATTGATCGGTAAATGTATCGTTGTATACGTCTAAATTCCTCATGGCCTCTGTTAGATCCAATAGCAAATAAATATGAACAAACCGCGCTAAAATAGCACTTTTCAGAGGGGGCTCTCAAATGCGTTTCCCCACACGCCTGTCCATAATTATATACAAAGCTCTAAAGATCAAACCAACTGTACACGGGAATCCTATTCTTTAAAATGTCTGAGTGATCGTCAAGAACGCTTTGAGAGCAGTTCGTCTAAACCAAACTCGTGTGCAAACATTTGAAATTTGGCACTGGGATCGATTTCACGAAGACAACATCTAAATAAACAGCAATCGGTAATTCTGTCCAACCCTGACAAGAGGTGGTTGGTGCAGTGGTCACACAATCAATCCTTCCATGCCCGATCGATCAGAAGCTCAAATCCCGGACTGGACAACGAATGTGCACTACAGATGAGCTCTAATAGGAGCAAAACTCGAGTCTAGTGCTTCCTAGTGTTTGATTGGCTGGAAGAGCGGACGAATGTGGGTGAAGCCGAAGTCCGATGGTCAGTTCAAATCTATCAATATCAATCACCTCCAATATATATATATATATATATATATATATAAACTGACTGACTCGAAAAACCTCATTCTTGATATGCACAAATAGAAGAATGATTAGGTTTCGTCTTACCATTATAAAACCCATTTCTTCGTCTCAAAGTTGTTTGATTTGGGGTTGGAAAAACTACTGTGCAAATGTCCCCACGTAGGCATTGGTCGGTGGACACCTAAACCATACTCATTAAGTCATGTGAACTCCTGCTTCATTCCGATCCGTTTCCTGGGAGCTAAAACATTCACGCCGTCCGTGGGGCTAACCACTATGCGTGACTTGATCCAATCGGTGTCACTGCACACCTGTGAACTGAAGACTGCTCATATCTAACAGCAGTCGGGGTGATCACGATGTGTTCCAGTAGTATTACCGGGCATGCGTGCCCAAACTTGCAGATTAGTGGTTATCGGCACTTGTGCACACGGCCAGGTCACCGCTGCTCGAACGATGAAACGAAGAATTTGGTGCGGACGGTGGAAAGCGCAGTTCCATCAGCACGGCGAAAGACCCCGTCGGGGTTGAATGTGCTATTGAAAATTTTTCCCGATTGCAGTACAGGAATAGTCTGCACTTCAAAATCAAAGAAATTCAGGTAACACTTTCCAACTCACCAAACGTTGCGATTCTCAATGCACTGCTTTGACTTCATGAGACATACGGCAGATCTTCAGCTACATACCGACTAAATCCGTTCCAAAGAGCCTGCCAACCCGAGTGTTTGTGTGTGTCTGTGTGTGTGATCGACTGGATGACCGATGCATTGTGCGTGAACATGAGTCTGAGAAATGACCAGTTACAATCAAATCACTGTATTGTATTGTATTCAAGCTTTAGCGAGTTATATACAACCTTTACCCCCCAAAAAAATAGACCACCGTTACAATTCTGGTAAAAACGGAAAAAATTGGATGTGAAACGTAAAAAAAGATGAGCTAATTACTAAATGCATTAGAAAGCTCAGAACGAGCACTTTCCTTGTCGGTCAGTACCCAAGAGTTTCTGTATGCGAATATGCGAGACGGGATAAGTTTGTACTCGGAACGGGTGGAGGGATGGGATTTGCATGCACACAAGTCAATGTGAAAAGGATGAGTGCAATCAGATAGGATATTGTTAGCAAACATCATGGACGCATCAATATGAGCATTAAGCATATTGTCAATCAGAACAGATTACGGAACTTGGGAGACACGGTTGATCATTGAGAAGCCACGCCTCAGTAATTTGAAATCAGCCTTCAACAAACCAGGGAAAATTACAGGGGAGCAGTAAATGGGTATGCGGAGGACACATTGTTGAACAAAAGCGGCTATCACCGACGGATCAGAACAGAAGCGGTACAGTCTTTTTATCTGAAAAGAGAGAACTTTCAACTTGTGAGCAACAGTTTGGGTGTGTAAGAACCAGCGAAGGTTACTTTCACGAGCTATTAAGCTAACTGGTCATTCGCATAGTGGTCATGACTGAGTGGGTGGGTTTTTAACCTCTCATCTAAATGTGAAGGGTTGAAAATCTATCATTGATGACAAAACGTTCACTTTTACAACGAATTAACCCCCTCCCCTTGTGGGGCGTCTCAATTCACATGAAAAAAATTACTGTGGTAAATAGTGAGATTATTGCATTGCATGGAACCCTTACGTACCGTTTGGAAAAGCTCTACAGGAGATTCCACAACCAGGACCTCGCCACTCCAAGGTGGATGGGCGGGCTTAGATCGATGCCGAGTCATTGTTCCTTTTTACCCAAATCCCATCAACAGTAGTTACACACATCCCGAGTGATTTGGTTCGGTCCCTGTGAACTTCAATTTTTTCTCTTCGCTTTATAATAAAGAAATTTCCTATCAAAAGTTTGAAATAATCGTTTGAAAATATGCAAAACAGGAATCTGTGGACAGGAAATTACTTTTGATCTGCCAGCGTAGTCATGTTCTGTACGCGTTTTGCACCTTCAAAGTATAAAATGTTACTACAAGACTGGGTTTGTCCAACATCTAGCCCCACTCTAACTGGGAAAGTAATGGAGCAAATGGATAGCTTTTGTTGTTTGGGCAGCTACATCTCACCTGGTGGACGCATCTCAGATGAAGTGTTAGCTCGCATACAGAAGGCTCGGTTTGCATTGGTCAACTTGAGACAGCAGTGCCGCCGCCTCAAAATCCGGCTATCCGTGAGGGGTCGAGCGTATACCGCGGTAGTTCGGCCAGTTTTGCTATACGGCGCAGAAACTTGGTCATCGAGGAAACAGGATAAGGATAATCTGTCGGTGTTTGAACGCCGCTGTCTATGCAGCATTGCACGAATCTGGTGGGGCAGCCGGACAAGCCATCCTGAGTTTAGATGTTGAGTTTTTGGGTAACCACGATCGTCCACTGGAGCAAGTGATCGATCTCCATAGATAACGTTGGTTGGTGCATGTGTTACGCATGTCACCAATTATGTTTCCACGACGAGCGATGTCAATCGAGGCAAGTAGTGGGNGTGGGTGGAATAAAGCCAACGGTGGTCAAGCTAAGACCTGGCATGAGGGTATGAAAACCCTTACCGGGAGACTGGGTCATATAGGTCCCGTTCGGCTCCCTGACTGGGGAACCCGAGATCATAGTCATCGATGGTTAGAGACACTGAGCGATATGGCTGGTTGTGGCAAACAGGGGCGTTCGTGCATCTTCTCAATTTATTTGCAACATTAGTCCAATGAAAATCTCCATTTTACATTCGACCCTATTCGGAACTGTCTTGTCGTTCTGCTACTGTTCATCTAAATGGGCGGCCGAAAGACAGCAACCAAAACCGGCACACGAAATTGAAACACATCCCGAACATGGCTACGCTGGCACCGACCTAGTCTTGTAGAAACGTTTGAAGGTGCAAAACGCACACGGAACATGGCTACACTGGCGTTCAAGCTGTCCAAAAAGGCTTGCAACTTACCTGGATCTTCACTTAGCAGCACAATATCATCTGCATATTCCAGATCAGGTATTCTGCCATCTGGGAGCAAATTGATCCCATTATCCTCGCATGAGGATAGTGCTGTTTCGATAATCAAATATATAACAAAGTTAAATAGAAAAGGAGAGATAGGGCAAACCTTTCGAACAGCACTTTTCGTTTGAGCTCGGGTGAAAAAGTGCCGTGAGCTCGGACTGGACCTCGGCTATTAGTATAGAGGAATCGTAATATTGAAAACGTTCCTTTAGCACACCCTGAGAGCAAGGCAGCGCCAGAGTTTAGAGAGGTCGACTGGGTCGAAAGCCGCTTTCAGATCGAGGAACAGAGAGATAATGGATCTACGAATGGAATGTCAGAGTTTGGCAAAGAATAAAGATGTGGTCGATACAACCTCGACCAGGTATAAAACCAGCCACGCGTGCATTCTTCACGTGCAGCAGACAGTCGAGGGAGTATGGAGCCAGCGAGAAGTTTAGAGGCATTTTTGATCAAACTAATTTCTACGTGGTTTTCACGAGAAGATCTATCATCTTTTTTGTAAATTGGTATGATGACCGATTCACACCATTCATTTGGAACCTGTTCCCTCTCCCACACTGAGCCCAAGAGCCTTGTTAATCCCGTGATTAAGGTTGAACTTTCATCCTTAAAGACGGATGGGGGCAGCTCATCTGGGCCGGAGGCCTTATGCCTTTTGAGATAACTTATTTTTTTCCGTGTAAACCCCATTTCAGATGG